GAATCTGTGATGGCAAATCTTAGAAGCTCGAATAAATTACCAAGTACCAGAGTTTTCATTACAGCTGAAAAATGGATGGCTATAAGTGCCGAAGTTGGGGCTTTATTTCTCCTTAAAACGGGAACCTTCGGTGCTAAAAACTGGTAGGAGATGCTATATTTTGCTTTGTTTAGATTTTTTTTTGAAAAAAAGGATGAATTCAATAGTAACCTTGATAAATAGAAATTCTTTAATCTCACACCGCATTAAGCATAAAGTTTTTCTTCTTGTAATGCTAACTGTATTCGCCGTATAGGTTTCTGATTACTTAGTTTCTTGCAATAAATCTTTGGATAAGAAGATCCTCTCAGAAAGGAGATAGTCCGTCAGCACTCTTTCTCTATTTGTGCATCAACTTTCACAAATCTGTTAGCTTAGCATTTTAAGGTTAAATCTGACCAGCATTTTGTGCACGACTGACTTCAAACTTGCAGATATAGAACTAATAGAGCTCCGAGGCTTATTTGCTGAAGTTAAGGAAAAATCTGTCGTAGGATTTCGAAGTCATTTACATTTTTTTGGAAATTACATGATATGTGTGGAGAGAACAACACAAAAAAAGATTCTGATTTCCAGATGGGAATTGAACCTACGACTTTCCGTACACTAGTCGGATGCTCTAACCACTGAGCTACTAATAAGACCTCAGTGGTGAGCAGGTCAATTGTGGGTTGACATAATTACCGCATAGCGCAGTCATTTTTTGTAAAAATGCAGTTTTAAATATATGCCGGTATCTTAAACTTTCTTATACCTACAACAAAACAATCACATTTTCTGAAAGTTCCACCGTTCTTTAAATGATATCAGGGATGTTCAAGAGAGGATAAAGGAGACAGAGAAGGCATCCCCCATACACACCCTATTCCATAGGTAGTTCGTCTCGAGTTATTGTTAACACCACAGATCTCAAGGGGGATTAGATAACAGCCAATCACATAGCGCGAATGTGTTCCGCGTGGATGACCCACGCTCAGAGCCACGCGTCCTTCACGAATTGACGCAATTCACGGTTTGTCAAAGAGTCCAGCGATTCCCTTTTCCCAGGTGAGCGCCGACTCATTTCACTTCAATATTCAGTAATGCTCTCGATCTCTTTACACTTTCATTGCCTTTCGCCCGACATGTTTTGCACGGCGTTCAGTCATTCGAAACCTCCAAGAAACATCCACGCAGCGCGCGAGGTAACTTTATCCCGATTCTAAAAATAACTAGACGAATTACCTATGGAATAAGGTGTGTATGGGTTATGCCTTCTCTGTCCCCTTTATCCTCTCTTGGGATGTTAAAAGTCATAGAACTCGGTTAAATAGTTCCTGCTGAAAAACGCAACTCAAAAACTTAACCGCCAACACGTTTATAAATAGGTTAGGGCCACTTACCACGTAACTGCAAAAAAATGAAGTGGGGGACCCCAGGTAGGTGAGGTAACCCGCTTAGATGGGGTAACCCGCCTGTCCATATAATCTCTCATTTTAATTTGATCATGTTAACATGATAGGCGGGGTGACCCGCCAAATTTTACCGCACCCATCTGGGGTCCCAATCCTCCATGTAAAAAAGCCCTTAGTCTGAAATAGTTTTCATCATGGTTGGAGTTACTTAACTCGAAATATGTTCACTCATCCTTTTTAATTTGGACTTCTTAATATACAGATTTATGATACAAACACATGGGTTTCCAAAGTCAGCCGTATTCTGCATATTACAATAGCCCATGTTCGATACACTTTTAAAAATTCTCACATGACTCCGAGGCTTTAGAGACAAATCGCAAATTTTTCAGGAGTTCATTGCCTCGCAATTCCCAGAAGATATCTGGACACAAAGAAAACCAAACCAAAAATAGAACAAATGAAAAACCAGTCTTCTTCAAATAGTCTCATTCAAAGCCGGTTGGGAGACTAAGCTAGACTAATTTTTAAGCTATAAAGAAAAAAAAATTGTAAATTGCTTGTTTACCCACGAAGCACCCAGGAGTTCCTATCAACTCGTTTAAACGTTTCCGTGCGTTCCATATCGAATTGAAATCTGGAAGTGTTGGTTTTTGAGGAGAGGGGAAAACCGGAGTACTCGGAGAAAAACCTCTCGGAGCAAGGGAGAGAACCAACAACAAACTCAACCCACATATGGCGTCGACGCCAGGAGTTGGACCCGGGCCACATTGGTGGGAGGCGAGCGTTCTCACCACTGCGCCATCCCTTGCTCCCTTACTTGCTACTTTAGGGACGGCTCGGGGGGCGGGCGAGGTACAAAAAAATACTCGTGCAAGGCAAAATAGTATAAAACAAGTTGAGAGAACATAGTTTGTTAGTCCCAGATCTCGTGTCTTCCCACCCCCGTGTGTTCGTTTTTTTTTTTCGTAGACGAGCGAACTGGCGTGCCACAGGCAGCCCAGTAATATAATGACCAGAAGGCCTCGGAGTGATGTTAGAAAATTGAAGGTGAGTTATTAATTTGTATACTACGTAAGAGAGAATGAACTACATTTATAGGGACAGGTTCACGGTTCAGCGCATGCTCATTAATCAAAATGCTGTTTTTCTGCCGCGACATGCTGTATCATCTATGCAAGCAATATGATCATGTCATAATGTTGTCAAAGAACCAATCTGCACACTCCCCTGGCAGTCACTTGATCAACTTAGGTGCAAATAGCTGTAAAATAAATAAACCATGGAATAAAACCTTCGGGTCAACAATAAATTCAACTTTGCTAGTCTTAGCATAAGCCACTAATTTTTTCTGCTATTTTAGTACTCTTCCATCCTTCTTCAGGTTACTCTGAAATACACTTCTACTTTGAAATACACTCTGAGATCGCTGAGATACATGTGAGTGGGATTATTAACCGATATAATTCATAATAAATTGGAAAAAACTAATTTAATTAATGAGCATGCGCAGAACCGTGAACCTGTACTTTATACATATATAGTTAGTAAGGAGACTGCTTATGAAAGCCGGCAGGCAACAAATACAAAAACAACGGTGCTGCAGTTTTTGTCGGGAGCTTCCTGTCCGTGGACAATCCTTTGTTCTGTTGGCAATTGTGATGGAATAAACTAACGGGACGTTTTTATTGGTCAATACGATCAAAATATTAGGAATGCTTTTGAACATTGTGTTCCGTCAGGTGTACAAAGAGGGTCGTGAAGGGGGGTACCAAATCCCAGTTCCCAGCCTAAATTTGGCCCAAATCCCAGTTCCCACGCTAATTTTTGCCAAAATCCCAGTTACCAAATTTTCGGTGTGTATAACGGCGTTATTTGCATTGACGTACCTGATTTCTAGTACCATTTTGCGAGAAACCTTTTCCGAAGGCATTTTTATCTTCCCTTCACAATATCTTCCCGCCATATCCAAACTTGCAGAACTTGTCCGCTGACCAGGAAAACTGACAGAACGTAACTATGCAACCGTGTAAGCCTGGTAGCTAGACCGCGGGCGCGAAGGCAAAAAATACTGATTTCACGGTCTCTACTGAGGAGTGTAAGGTCTATTGCTACGAAATTTTATTTTTCTATTTCAAAATATTGGAGCAAAGACCGCTGAAGAAAAGAAATCCCATTCCCATTTTATAATTGTTCATCCCATTCCCAGTGACTAAATCCCAGTCCCAGTGAGTAAATCCCATTTTCCCAGTCCACAATAAGGCTAATCCCAGTTCCCATTTTACCCCTTCACGACCCTCTACAAAAACATCATTGTAACAAAGGAGGCTGACGGGTTTCATAACCATTTCACTCTTTAATTATTTATATTACTTATCGAGATGGTTTTCTTTATGTTTCCTTATAACATTATTGAAGGTTGAAGAACTGAAGTTTACAGAGATGTCATCAAAATTTTAATTTAAGTTTACTATTTCAGCCTAAAAAGCTGCTGAACAGTTCTTAGCGGCGAAATCTCACACAAAGTTACTAATTAACAAACATACCGTTGATCAAATTGTAGCTGACGAATACAGTTGCCGCATTTTGGACTATCAAACAGTTGTAATATTTCCTGCTATTGCGGCATTGTGATATCTCGTATACAGACGTAATGTATGCAGATATGCTCAAAGCATTTGTACCACCCTTGCGGTTTTTCCCCGGTAGTTGTCGCCTTATATGTCAGTAGTTCAATTCTTCTAATTGCAACTGGCACGACCTATACTGAGCCATAAAAAGCCAATCCAACTTTAGGAGCTCTGATCTACGTATGTAAGTTCAAGGACACTTGACAAAGCTAAGTTAACCTGTCAAAGGCAAGTGCTCAGTGTTTGTCAATCAGTCCTTTTCAAATTCATCTTGTCAGTTTTGCAGAAGTTTAAAAGCTCGGTAAGCTTATTTGCATACTCCATTATATTGTCAGAGTTCGTTTTCTTACAATTAACAATTCAAAAGCTTCGATGAAATAGCCTAGTAATTCAACGGTATTGATTTCTTGCTTTGTTATCCTCCTTGACACTGTATAAGCAAAACAATGATCATTAACGTTAAAATTAGATCATAAAACACCTGGTAGAACTCTGCGAGAAATATTGGTAACGATCGAGTCAGTACACTGTTCTGTTGAAGCCATACTACCAGCTATACATACTATTGAGCTAAATAAGTTCAGTATTGGTTCGTTATCTCAGTCGCTGCTTTCAATGTAAATATAAACAAATAAAACTGAGTTGCTTTTGTTAGATTAAGTTTAACATAAAATCTGTTTTTTATTCATCATCTTTTTCTTTCAGATAAGCATGACGCCTAGATAAGTCAGCGAATTGCGAAAAACAGCTGTCCAAACCCTCCAACAATGGCGCCCTGTTGAAGTTAGTGTTGAATTAGCCGATGTGTACGAGTCAAGAATACTTCGTTGATCCACTACAAACTACTAATATAAGAAGTCGAAAACTGTGGTAAATTTTCGTCAAACCTCAGCACATTCCCATTTGGAACTTAATTTCACTTCCCCTCAATAGCAACATGGCTCTCAACTTCGAACACACAAGACAACTTTGCAGATTTATAATTCTTCTGTCAACGTTAATACTCTATATGTGCATTTGTGCTGCAATTTACAGCTTGCTGGAGAAAGAAAACGATCGGACACAGTATAATCTCTATCAGGGGTTAAAGAAAAGCTACAAGCGAAAGTATAATTTGAGTGAAGATGAATTCATCAAGTTTGTCAAGGATGCGAGCATAATGTACAAGAGAGGGTATATGGGCGAATACAGGGACTACTGGAATTTTTACCATTCGTTCTGGTTTACAATCACGGTAGTCACTACGATAGGTAAGCCTCGGTTTCACATATTATCCAGTTATATACTGATTATCGTACTTGTAGTTGGGTACATTTGAACACAGATCGACCCACCGCGGTGTAGAATGTGAGGTAGATGCGCGTTTATGCTGAATTGATTTTTTAATTTGGAGAAGGGGGGAGATTTTTTCCTTTTTTGGAAACTTTGCATTTTGCTAGTACCTTTAAATTTGCAATTTTGCAGAAATATCGGGTAGAAAATAGGGCAAATTTCATGGCAATAAATAACTACCGTACGACAAATTTAATTTTTTCAAATTGCCAAACAAAATTGTAGCGTATAAGTGCGTAAGGTTAACAACGAAAAAGACGATGTTCTTGGGATTTCCGCGTTTCTTCGATCGGCTCAAATAATTGCTCTTTTCTGCTTGTTACAAATGCGTTTCATTCTCAGTGTTTTCTTCAACATCGGATGATTTTTTCTTTCAAGTGTAAAATAAAAACACAGACTAATGTGACATGATTGGTTCTCTTCGCTTTGAAAATATTCACCAATTTATCGGTGACATCTGTCTCCAAGATAAGTAAACGTAACATTTTCCCTATATCTTTGGTTTACTTTTGACATTAAAAAATCTAGTGTGTAACAGTCGTCTTCCGTTTGAAGCCGCGCTCGACTCATCATAGAAAAAGACCGAGATATTTCGAAGGCCGATATATCTGTATATCATCATTTCGGGAAGAACAAAGAGGTTTTAAGCTTTAAATGCAAAGTGACTCGCAATTGTCTCTGTTGTCTCGCAATAAAAAAAATTTTGTCGATAAGCTTCTTATGCAATACGTCCAATACGGCGGCCATACATGACATTAAGACTATTCAGCACTTTTAAGATAAAAGAATGATTTAATATTTTAATGCCAAAAATGGAAAATGATCATGATGAATGGTCATTTTGCTCCGTCATACATCTTTTAAATATGACAGGTTAAAGAGAGAGATAAAGTTGCTTTAGAAACCAGCCCGATATGAAGATCATAACGACTCAGTTATTAAAGGCCCATATTCACCCTAGATGCATTTCGCGCCCTGTCCTCCAGAAAAAAAAAACATTTCGCGTCGTTGAAAATCACTGCCTTCAGTGTGTAGAGTCAATCTTTGTTAATCTTCCACAGTTCGCTAAATCTGGTTTAAAATTAAGAAAGTCTAAACAGGTTTTTTTTTGTATTTTCTTTACATCTTTTTGGATATTTTGGTCCGGTATCGAACCTTTTTGTTTCTGTGAGCCCCGGGGGGGAACACTTGGGTATTTTTTGGGTGGGTACGTGCCGCCCAAGACTCCAAATTGGCACCCCGTTTTAAAAAAAATTTCCCCTAAAACTGATACCCCGTTCTAGAAATGGGCCAATTTTTTATACCCCGTTCTAGAATTCGCCCTAAAACTGATACCCCGTTCTAGAAATGGGCCAATTGTTCATACTCTGTTTAAGGGTGCAACAAGAGTACAACAGTTCGCTTTGTTAACTCATTGAACCGTATTTTTAAAAGCAATCTGTCCTTGAATAATTATAATTTCAAATGGCTGCTTACAAAACCGGAGCTTTCGTGCGTTCGAAATATTATACCCCGTTCTAGAAAATGCCTCTGAAATGGATACCCCGTTCTAAAATCACGAACTCCGTTGGGCGGCACATAACCGGCCGTATTCTCGGTTTTCACATGACGTCATCAAAATTCAAACTAAGAAACTATCGATTCTTCTGAGATTCTGAGTTTCATGAGGTATTACAGCACCCCACCTTTATTTAAACAGAGGTTTGGTTCGCTGTTTTGCGATAGTTTGTTTCACCGTCGACGGGGGTTTAGCCGGCCGGGACTGTGGGTTAAAAAATTCGTCTCCGTGAATCCGTTTCTTTAATCTCTGGAGAGATAGGAAAGAAGCTCTTGGCTGCAAATTCTACAGTCAGCGTGTTGCCGAGTTCCGTCTAAATCGAATGTTCATTTGTAAACAAAGGTCCCGTTGAAATCAGTTGAAAGCAAAACAAGCGAGTCAATCTAAATTGAACAATGCTTTATTTAATTTAACCTATGAAGCGAGTGATATCCTTTACGTAAACTTATTGACCTTCATTATGTTCATCGGACTCAACAAAGCATCCACACGCGTTCACTACCAGTTTAAATTTTGAACTGCTTTCTCCGGTGACATTTAACGAAGTGGGCGATATATCTTCCTCGATTTGGAAAAGAATTAAAGTCTTACTGGCTTCTTTGATACTGTCTCTTTGAGCTTCGGTCAAGCGTGAAAAAAGCTAGTCTCCCTCGCAGTCGTTTTTAGTATCGTCAAGCAACGCTCCTCAAAAGTGGAAGCCAGTCAAAAACACTGCATTTGACAAAAGAATCGTTCAAACCAAAAACACAAGCGCGCAAAGCCGTTTCGGTGGACATGGGCCTTTAAAACAGTTGTTTCGAGAAAGGTTGTCAGGGTGCATGCGTCTTACATTTGGCGATAACTTGTTCCCGCCACTACGACATTAGGGCCATTTATACGAGGAAAAATAAGACGCGAACTGTACCATTTATACGAGCATGTCTTGTCTAATAAGACACGTCTTAGCTAAGCCGCGTCTTATTTTAGCCGAAATGTGCCGTTTATACGGAAAGTTCGCGTCTTATTTAAGACGCGTCTTATGTAAGACGCGTCTTATTTTTCCTCGTATAAATGGCCCTAATCTCGCTAAAACTAGTAGTAGATTGATGACGACTAGATTTTCCCACCAAAATGACGCTGGTTCACGCGTCAGCAACACTCAGCGAAAAATTTCGCACACGTAGTCGTTCTCTTCTCCGAATCTAAAGAGCTCTTAATAGCTTAGTGCTACCTATTTTTGATTATGCTGATTTAGTCTGGGGTGACAAGGACAATGTCTCACTTATGAAGGAATTGCAAATTCTCCAAAACAAAGCAGCTAAGTTGATATTAGATAGATCACCTCACTCCTCATCCACCGATGCATTGATTGTCTTGAGATGGCTGAATCTTGAAGAACGTAGGAAATGTCATCGATGTATATATGCATACAAGTGTATTAATGGCCAACTTAATCATTCTTTGGACATTGTAAGAAAGAGTGATATACATTCCTACAATACGCGCAATAACGATACTATCAAGCTCCCCAAAATTAAATATAATTGGGGAAAACAACGTTCGCGGTACCACTGTTTCAAAGACTTTAATGAATTAGAGAGAACTGTAAGAAACTCAGCAAGTTTTCCAATTTTTAAGAAGTGTCTTTTTCTGCTTTTTATAATTGAGTACTTGTAGTGTGTATGTTTTAATTATTTCTGTAACTCGATTTTAGCTTGAATTTTTTTTTTTTTTTTTTTTTTTTTTTTTTTTGTATCATATATATCGATTTTAGCTTAACCTTTTTATATTTTAATTGTATTATATAATATACATCTCGTAATTAGGACCTCTATGTAAACCACTCTTGTGATGGAGCATCCTATTAAAAGATTGTTATTATTATTAGCTCTCTAGTATAATTAATGCCTTTGCCCGTAGACAAAATGTTCCTGTAGCGTTGTGAGGAAGATATCAAACAAGGGGGAAGTAACCATAATAATGGTTCTGGTGATTTTAGCAGACAGTATTGAACAGCAAAATAAGGTTCATTTTTTTAAAGATTTTACCACCCAGACGACAGGAAACAGTTTCAATTCCTAAACATAGACATGAACTCTTGAAACTAAAGTCAGGGTCGGCCAAGGTTTTGGGGTATACGGTATACCGGGGCTTTTTAAATCGGGTATACGGTATATTGCAGCTTAAATACGGGTATTCGGTATATCACTTTCTTTGAATTTCAGGTATTAAGTATACCTGGGTATAATTTTGGGTATTTTTGGGTATTTTAGCGAATTTTTTTCGGGTATACTGGTATACCACTACCCCTCCTGGCCGACCCAGTAAACTGGCCAATTTTTGATATACTGTACTTACTATCTGTCGTCTTTTGGTTATAAATAGCCTTCAGTAAATTTCGGAAATCAGCGCAACCTACAGATTAGTTGGTCAGTGTCTTAGCTATATCTGCCAGCAGATACTTGACTAGTCTGTAAATTGCGTGAGCAATGGATGATTACCAATATTGTGCGCATTGCGCATTAGTCAGTGATCTGTTAACAAATTACTTAATAAGGTTGCATTGATTTCCAAAAATTTACTGTAGGTTCTTAGCCAGTGAGAGGACAGATATAGTGAGTATAATTTATAATAAAACATAAAGTAAACTTATAAAATTAACAGCTGATCGACCGGTCTTTAAGTCTGTGGTATTACATTTTACGATTGGATTCTGACAACGCTTTGTGTTTTAACGTTTCTTTACAGGATTTGGACATATCGCCCCCGTGACATTTGCTGGCCGACTTTTCTGTATTTTTTGTGCCTTGATTGGAATCCCTTTAAATTTAGGTGTACTAAAAACCGTCGGTGAACGAATTACAAAGTACATCCGCAGCACTGTCAAACACATCGAGAAGAAGTACTTAAAAAGAAGACGTCCAAACCGTGTTGGATTTAAAGTCGCTGGGGTGGCATTCATTATGATGGTGATAGTTCTGCTGGTGGGCGGGGCATCAGACATGGTGTTCGATGGATGGACATTTTTTGACGGAGTCTACTTCAACTTCATCACATACAGTACAATCGGTTTTGGGGATTTATTTCCGCGAGTGGAAAAAGCCTCAAAACTGGATGAGCTTGGTTTTGGTGAAAACGGCAAGCGTCTATTCGTTTCATGTATCATGCTAATTTTTATGATCATAGGATTGTCTGTTACGTCAACAGTGATATGTTCGATTTTGCAAGCAGTTGAAGAAATGTCGCACGTCCCCGCAACCTGGACAAGTGTCAGGAGTTCGGCCATCTTCAGCCGAGACGATTCTGTTAAGTTAGAAAGTATAAAAGAGGAAACGGATGGAGGAACGATGCAAAGTTGGACAGAGGAAATAAAATGTAACGATACGAGTTAGACCGTCAATTCTTGCGAGCAAAATTACCCTTGCAAACATTTTACCGTTCAGTGAGATACAGGACCCTCAAGGAAAACGGTGTCAAGAATGTTTTTCCTTTCTTTCTTTCTTTTTTTTTTCGTTGCTGTTTGTTTCCTTTTTCGTTTTCCTTTTATGTTAGTATTTTTATAAGTGGAATTGTATAAATTATTTAATTAGTAATTATTCATATAAAACATTGTAAAACTAGTCTTTAAATCGATAAAACTGTTACAAAAAGGAATGATGTTAGCGACTGTAATCAAATGCTTGCCTGCGAGCAAGCCCTCCAGTTCGGGCTGGTGAGCCAAGCGATCAGCGCGATAACTCGACAGCAAGCGGTAAACCCACCCCTCACACTCGCGTCTCCTTTCGTCTGCCGCTCGCGCGACTTCACTTAATATCCCCCAAATGAAGAACTTATCAAGTAGAGGCGCGCCACCATAAGTCTCCTTTGGCGGGTTGTTTCTATTTCTAAAGCCCAATTCAAGCTTTAGCTGAGGGAAGCCGTTTAGTATTGTCTCGTCTTCAGGCGTTGTTATAGCGCGTATAGGAACAAAACACGTCGGAATGCAATCGGACGTTTTGAGTTTATACTTGAGACTAGGTGTTGGTACAATTCGCCACTTTTTTGACAATCGAGAAGGGAACTGGAGGCGAAATGTGTCCCGCTATTGTTTCTGGGATCTTTATTGGGGACGCGCCGGTCAGCTATTGGTAATAGTCCCAGAAGTCTTTGCGAAAGTGGCGACTTGGACAATAGTGAGTTTCAGCAGCGACGTTTTCGAGCGACGCACGTCAACCGGAAGTGAAGTTTTTGCACTCTTCAGCCGTGATTTTGAACAAATTCTTGGACATACGGTGTCTTTAAGAATAAAGACACTTAGCAATACAAATTCGATGGCTTCAAAGCATATTAAAAGAGAAAAAGGGTCACTTCCTGTTGACGTGCGTCGCTCAAAAACGTTGCTGCTGTGACTCTCTAAGAGGGTCCTATGAGGCTGTTTGAGGGGGAAAAATTTGTCTTAGCTTTCTGCGCAGCCTCGTAACAACCACCAAAAGAAGCGTAAAAGAAGCGTTAGTGTCTTCATAACAGTCCCATAGTACAATTCGACACAACACGGACCCAGTCTTACGCAACTTCAAAGGAGCCAATGTATTCTTTCCGTGAAACCACGCGCGTCGGGTAAAAGAAACGAGGGGAGTGAGTGCACAGGGTCCAGTGTCTAAGCATGCATATAGTAAAAACTGACATAAACTGGAATTCTCGGGGCTGACAAACTAGCAGGAGAAAAATTCGAACAATCAGCTAGAAAACTAGGGTTTGACGAAACTGAGAAATTCTGAGGACTTCAAACTTCAACAACAGATTTGCTCAAACCATGCCATACAAACTGAACAATTTTTTTTTTTTGCTTTAGACACTGTGGATGGCATGTTGTACTAGGTGGTCCTTGAAAAGCTAAAGAACAAAAAAAAGTGTCTTATCTTTGGCATGAGCAAACTTGGTAGTCAGTAGTAGAAAGCCCCCTTAAAGAATGGCATATCGCTGATCATACAATGACTTGGAATCGAATCTAACCAATCTACTATACCTCACAGAGAAAGCAGAAAATGAACTGGCAATCTCCCAAATTCACGTCTGCTGCCCTGCATGCCCGCACATATCCGTAACCCACCCTGTCTACTCCAGTTGCCGCAGTGTTAGATATTAAGTCATTTATTCACCATGTACAACCAATGTAAAGAATATGCCTTAGGCAAAACACGACTAAGAGTTCAAGTAGGTTACAAGTTATTGAAATGCAGCTTCCTTGCTATGGATTGTGATAAAATGAATAAAATGTATTTTTAAGTACCTCAAAGAACACTTACTACTGCTGCTGTTATCATAACTACACCCTGCTCACAGAGCCTTTCTCTCACTCACTCAATTTTGGTTGGGGATGTGCTGCTTGTTACTGGGATACAGTTTCGCACCCACGCCTAAAAGACGTGTACTTGGTACAGTGGGCTTAATTATTAACATCGGTTTATCAATGAACGGATATTGGCACTCGAAAAAAAGTTTGACGAGAGAAAACAATATTGACTAGTCCAGAAGTTGGCGACTTCAAAGTCTTGACGCGATTCAGGCAGAGCCTCCCATTTGCGGATCCAGACCTTTAGATAAGTGGGGGGGGGGGGGAGAGGGGAGGCGGTCTTAAAAAAATTTTTTTTCGGCCATTCGGGCCTCTGTTTCGTCCAAAAATAGGGGGGGCGGGCACGCCGGGCCCCTCCCCGTGGATCCGCCACTGCCTCCTTTTCTCCTCCTCACTCGAGACGACAAAAAAAGGCTCTGCTTGCAGGGTGTCAAAATTACCTTTCCTAGTCCCTAGGCCTCATTATTCCACGGGGCCAAAGCGTCTCGGGTCACGTGGTCCAAGCGATACGTCACCAAAGAATTGACCGAGAGGGCCCGGGAAAACGCCGACAGGGACTAGGCAAAAAATTACCGTAATGTTAAGTCTTCTAAGTATTGTCCTCCAAAATCAACACCTTTATGTTAGAATGTAACCATAAAAATTATCTCTACAGTAAACAGTGTGGCATTCCTTCCCGCCATGAAATGATCATTTTAATTCTGGATGCAATGTGAGGCTTGAATAACACGAACTGTTTGGCACCACTAAAATATATTCTAATAAATAGTTCTTCACATTGGAGGACTAAATTCTCCACGTAGATTCAAGCTATTTTCTTGGCTGTTACCAACGAAAGGAAAGCCAAAGCTCCCACAACCAGTACTAAAGCATTTAGATTGAAAACACTGTCCCAACTTTTGAAAACTTCCAACAAATAACCTGTGATTAGAGTACCAACAATTCCTGGAAGAAAAAGAAAGATTAATCACACATTTCATTTGCGAAGGAAGAAATTCTCCGGACAAGGACATAGAAATAAGTGGTTAAATCAAACCGCAAATTAGCCTGAAATTTATCCGATTGCTTCGAGTCGTTTTCTCCTCTCAACAACTGAGGGAGTAATAACGACTCGAAGTAATCGGATGAAATTCAGGCTAACCGCAAATAAATAAATAAGAAATTTAGTAATGTAGTAACGTAGAAATAAGTGCTTAACACAAAACCAAACAAATAAATAAATAAACACAAGGGGTTACTCGTTAACACGTCAGTACTTATCCCAACCTTTCGTCCCCATGGTTCTTCTCGGAAAAAGCCCTGAAAAGGTTTGGTTCTTACCAACACCCCCCACCCGCCAGGACTTTCAGGCCAATAGTCTCTCTGTTTCACGAAATAAAAAGAAAAACTGCCTAAGGATAAGTTGTTTTACCAAACAGAGTATTTCCACTGAAAACTCTTCTTTAAAGACCTTTTTCACTTCTTTCTTGTCATTTGCGGGTAGGGAGAACGCTGTCATTAAATCTTAATATTTAAGCGATGTTACAACAATTCAACGTACCCGAAAACGCTCCAGCAGAATTCATTATACCTGAAAGTTAACAACAAGAGATTAATTAATAAAGGCATAACAACCCTTCTACCAAAAGACTGTCAGGCTCTGCAAGGCATTATCCATCTCATAACAAACGCCTGCCCTCAGCACGTCTTCTAGGTAAGTGGCCAATTCAATTGAACTGAGCATGTTTTGCGGGTTGTATTTCGATTTTGTTTTAACGCCTGTGCTCTAATACAAAGCTTTAGTGGGCGTTTTATCTTCCTCCATTTAAGTACTTTACAAAGTTCGGATTTTCCTGGTAGCCACGGAGCGAAAAAACACCACCGACTTGTAATGCTTTGAGCGCGGGTACTACGAAGTTTTTATTTTTCTACGTTTTCCCTGGTTTTCTTTCAGGGCGTATGGAAACCTTGCATCGCCGGCCCGAAACGTCTGCAGACTGAACTCACAAATATCACAAGACAGCACTTTTGTTCATTACCCGTTTTTTTGTATTGAACATTCCTTTATTTACTTTCTCTTATCGGAATTTTTGTACGTTATTTGTTAGTTTTGACATACTTTGACAGCTCGCGACGACACACCCACGCGACAACACACGCGACAGGGAGGCAAATAGTTCGCGCCAAAATGACGTCACTTGAGATGACTTTTTGCAGGGGAAACAAGTCAAGCTCTCGCTCTCCCCTATCTTGCCGCAGAAAACATAAAAAATCTACAGCCCGCGCTTCGCACTCGTGAAAAACTATGAGCTCGACTTATAGGCAAGTCTAAACCACAATGTGAAATGTCCTCATTTATACACTTTCAATTGACGAAATGTCGTGTTGAAACTTGTTTCCTGTCGTCTGTTGCCTCAGATGGCAAGGATGGGCATGAATTGAAACTTGAAAAAATGGGGGGTGTAATATGGTATGGAACGTTCCAACCTTATATGAAAAATTGGGCCAACTTTTTCAAGTTTTAATGCTATTGCTATGCTTGCAAAAATCATCAAAAACATTATTAAGGTTAGTGCTCTCTGATGGAATTTGATGGAATCTGATGTCTTCTTCGTAACTCTCCAGGAGCATTTTGGGAATTATTTTACGTTTCCGTGAAATTGCCCACCTACCCCTCCCCTACGCCAACATTTTGCCCTAAGTAAGAACTACCTGTTAATGTTGGTTTAGGGGAGTGGTAGGTGGGCAGTTCCCCAGAAACGTAAAATTATCCCATTTTATTTATAGGCAAAGTTACTAAGTAACGTTTTCAGCATAGAACTGACCAAAAAGAGCAACCATCCTCGTGACTTAGGCAAAAAAAAACTTACCAAAGAGTGTGCCGGCAAACCTAGGTGACATGTCCTGGGGAGTGACGGGTGTACCGGCATTACCAAGTGCATTAAGACTCATGGCCATCATCATACAAAACAGTGCACTATGGAATGATCGACTCTTGTTGATGAGGATCATGAAGAACGCCCCACCGCACATGGACAGAGTCTGCAGGGAAAAATGGAAGTATGATGTATTTATTTGTTTTGCACTCGTTTCCTATCCTTTAAAGATTTAGTTTTTTTAGGTTTAACACTGAGATAAAATTACCCTGGGTGCCAGAGTTTTGTTTTTTACATCATGTGCAAATCGAGCGGAAAGCCGCGACAACAAGGCGTAACGCGCGTTTTAAAGCGATGGTTTCTTCGGCTTACATTTACAAATTTTCAGAACAGCCCTCAGCTTATGATAATGTCATCTAATAACATCTAGACATCAGTTCCATTTCATGTGTAATCTTAGAAAAAATGTGTTACCTGAAAAAATTTTCTAACAAACGTCACTGAGAACCCTGTAGGGATGTTAAAACAGAAATACAAAAATATTAACAGACAAATTCATGGCTCAAAATAAATAAATAAATAAATAGGTCTTTTTAGTTCCACATTCTGGACGTTGTGTAATAACCAGCTGAACGTGGTGATCTAGAGCTGGGATATGATGTACTATAAGTACACTGTTCCGTTGTAAAGGAAAGGAGTTGAAATATGTCTTCCTACAAGACATATTTCAGACAAGACTGATGAACATTCCACGAACATTGAGAATCACGTCATTTTAAATTTGACCGTGTAACATTTATTTTTCACTGTTCGCCAATCTCGTTTAAGAGCAACCTGCTTCAGTAGGGTTATTAGGAAGTAGAGAGCGAACAGGACCAAACTCTTTCCGAGGTCTTACCTTCCATCCCAAACAAAAATTTCTTAAAACCCGTTTACACGGACGATTTTTCGGGCGTGTTATGCTGCGATTTCACTCGACAATTCTGTGGTGATGTTATTGTTATCTCTACGGCAAATAGTTACCTTATAAAATGCCTGGTTTAAAAACTTATCCGCCAAGAGACCTGAGGTAGGTCTATGTCAACTCTGCAGCGCAGAAATTAGCCCATGAGTATCATGAACATTTGGGCAGGTTGGCAAAAAGGGCATTTTCACAGCAACATAAAATCATCGAGCTCGCTTTTGAGTTGTGGCGTGGGTATTGTTAAGTTTTTCTTTTCCAGTCTTTTGAATTACGTCACTTCGTGATTGCACTCGTCCACAACACCAAGAAAACCCACTTAATTTACACGCGGAACGCATCCATGGTGTAAGCAAGCCTATAGACAGGAAAATATCCCTACTCAGTGCCGCCCTAGATGAGATGAACATTTTCCAACCTCACCTTTTCTTATCATGCAGTCAGCAACACGTCCTACAGTTAAAGCGACAGGAAAGTACAAAAGCCATGGAAGAACATTAAATACCCATTTCTACAAAAAAGAAACAACATCAGTATTGTATCAGCCAGGAAAGTTTAGCATGGGAAGCCAAAGCTAAGAAAAGGTAAAACTGTAGGCTTTCAGTGCTTCCTCCTCAGGAGTTTCGTTTTTCGCATAGATTCGAGTGCGAAACGCGAGTGACACGCGAGTGACTGGTGACGAAACGCAAGGGACCATGGGAACGAGAAAAAGCCTGTTTTCTCCTTCCTTCCTTTTTTTCCTTCCTTTGCGCGCAAATTTTCATCGAGAGAGAGACGTCTGGGAATACTGCTCGCAGTCTAGGTAAGAGGCAAATAGGCTTTGACGTTATGGAAAGAAATGGTGAAAAAAAAATGCGAAATAGACTGTTTCTTGAAACTCAGTAAATATGTAGAAATGTCGCTTCATCTTAGAGGTAACCGGTCATTTCGCCCCCAGTCTTTTCGCCACAGTTACTTGGCCCCCGATTTTACAGTCATTTAGATATGTAATATACAGTCGAAACTGTATTAAGCGGCACCGTATTAAACTGTCACCCTCCATTAAGCGGTCAGTTTTCAAAGTCCCGACAATTACTTCACTTGATGTACTGTAATTTCGACCGCCATTAAACAGTCACCCTCTATTAAACCGTCGCGGTCACCATTTGCGAAGTCCCAACAGGACTTTTTCTGTTGTCTTGTCCTGTATTAAACGGTCACACGGTGTCAATTACTCGTCCATACAGTTTCAAATAATGTAACATATATAGGTACAACAATTGATTTGCTTGTTTATTTTGCAAATCATTAAAACGCCAGAAATGAATGTTTCTATATGAGGTCAAACGTCTGATCTGATCAGCACTGGAAATCGAATTGTTTGAACTGTATTTCTTGCAGCCTGTATTAGTTGGTCACCCTGTATGAAGCGGTCACTTAGCCATTCCCCGAGGGTGACCACTTAATACAGGTTCGACTGTATGATGTTCTTGAAGTGTTGTTTTTCAAAAGGTTACTTAGGGGGCAGAGTAACCGGAGCAAAATGACGCGGGGGCGAAATGACCGTAAAGCATCTTAAACTAACCTTACTTCCAGGGTAATGCTCTTCAAAGTACATTGGAAGCCAAGCGAATACATTCCAGAAGGCAATTCCCTGACAAAAATGAGAAAGGACAAGACCCCTGAAAAGACAGATGCACATTTTAACTTTTTATACTGGAAAGTAATCATTTTATTACATGTATCAGCACTGTCAATCTACTGTGTCAGCCATGGAATTTAAGATTAGGTCCTGGAAACTTATAAAATCACGAAAAATTGCTCCGTAGCTGACTATAACTATTGTTTAGAAACCAACCACTCCATTGTATAGTTAGTCTCCCACGCAGGGGTTTTTAGGGGAGCTCGGGAAGAAATACGAGCTCCCCTAAAAACGCCTGCGTGGGAGGCTATTGTATAGTGAAATTGACGCTATTTTTGAAGAATTTTTACACCTCTTAGTCAGTAGTCTGCCTACAATACAAGTTCTGAGCTTTTGAGTTCTCTACAAGTTTCCTTGGACTTAAAGGCCTTGTAAACAGACACCAGCTGAATTCTTTCCGCTTAGCAGAGTAAACAATGGAGTCTAGTGAGGCAAGTCCGCTAACTTTTGATTCTATGGACAAAATCCTATGATATGACCATTTAAATGAAACCTCTTTGGTGGTACTTTCAAATAGTACTGTATGTTTTCCAGCATTATACGAAATGAAATTTGGAATTCTAGTCTAATTTCGACTTTGGCCTCTCCTGGGAGTAAAAGGGCTAATGAAGGTGTCATTTAGTCAAAAAACCTAAAAATCACCTTTTGCCAATTTTTTCACCTGATTTTAATAGCCAGATTAGGTTGTTTTATGCTGAAAAGTGGAATTTTCTCAAAAAGCTTGGTCCTTTGCTTGACGTTTTTTTTCCGAAAGTACAAGTAATGAAAGAAAAGTTTTGAACAAAACCCATGCAGGGCATGTGCATAATATGGGCTACATAACTAAAACCACTTACCAAACTGCTGGATGTCTTAAAAATATTTCCCATGGCACATTTACTAGAGATGCCCTCTCAGAACCAGTTGCTTCCACCATCTTAATGTTTCCAAGAGCAAACTGTTGTTGCTCTGGCAACAGTAAATAGAATCTCCAAATGTATGCCCATAATAATGACATAAGACCGTGAAATATAAAGACGCTATGCCAGCCAAATTGAGAAAGAAATATTGAACCAACACTTCCCATGAACAATGTTCTGTGAGGAAAATCAATGGCAAAAAATCGTTAATTCCAATTCCTATATGGCACATATTATGGCATGTAAAACAGGTTTTTTCCAAAACCTGCAAAATTTACCAGTTATTTATAGCATTTTGAGCATTCAAGTTTTCTCTTTGCAAAGAATTCAGCTTGAGTGAGCTAAGTGTTCTCAGACTGTTTGCCATGTCTAGCAATGAGTACGGCTTTTTAATCATAAACTATTACGTCTTCGTCATATGTGGCCTACAGGGTAACAAACTCACTGGTTCGCCTTGAGCATCCGTTGAGCACAAAGTTGCTAGAAAATTGCAAGTTCTGTCAACGTTATTTTACTCAAAGGTATTACGTTTGGGGGGAATCTTGTTCTCAGAATTTCATGAACTTAACCATGAGCATCTTGATTGCCTGAACTAAAGCTTCTGAGCCCCTCACCCCACTCCCCCAGTTATGGGCCCATCTACCTGTAAACAAAAAAATACATCCAACTATAAGCCCCCCCCCCCCAACCCCGATATAAGCCACCCTCTAGCTTGTATTAAAATTAATTTGATCAATTATGACATTTTGAAGCACATGAAAACCAGTGAATGCAAAACGTGTTTTGATCAGTTCCGCCATAGCTTGTTCTGATATAAGCCCTTCCATTATAAGCCCTGCTTGAACCCCTTATGAAAATAGCGGCAGGTTACAGTATTTTCAGGCCTTACAATTGGTTTCGTGAGTTGATTGAGACGAAACAATTAAACAATTCGGACCAATTTAGGTTTCTGGGAAACTGCCTACCTACCCCTCACCTAAGCCAACATTATAACTTACTTCTCACTTAGGGCAAAATGTTGTCTTGGGGAGGGGCAGGTGGGCAGTTTTCAAGAAACCTAAATCGCTCCAACAATTCTCTGATGCTCTGAGTTAAAAGCAGCATTACAACACTGTACCTACCCAACAGGGCCACCAGCAAATATCGTGCTTGTTAAAAATGTTCTGTCTCTAACTGATATCCTTTTTGCTATGATGTTTGTTAAGGAAGGATAGTGCAGGCCTGCAAAATAAAAAAAATTGGTCTTTAAGTTAATAAGAGGAAGCAGGAGTAAAATGATTGAGCTGGGGCTTCCAGAAAGGCTATTGATATTTACAGTCCTGAATGGTACCATTATATTTTCTAAAATAACTAAGACAGTACATGCACTCTGATTGGCTAAGAGGAGTGTTTGCATGAGAGTATGTAAACATGGTTGTGGCATCACGATGTTTTGCTTTTCGCACACTAATCAGACAAGCACAAATTTGAAAATGTTTTCGAGTTCAAATCTCGACAAGTTTACTTTATTTACCCATTCCTTCATCGGCTGAAACTTGGAAAATCGTTACAAACAAGGTGTGTCAATTATTTTTCACTTAAGCTGACATTTTAAGCAAGAAAAATCCGTATTTTGGAAAGCATCTTTTTGCAAAACAAGAACTGATTATGAGTGCAAGACTTTATGTACTAGACTTTGCAATTGGTAAGAATTCTCCCTTAATCAGTGCCATAACAAAGAGTTTTTCGTTTTTTCTTGAAAAAATTACTGTATAAAAGAAATACAAAACTTTTTTCCTGTGTTTGCATAGCCTGATATGAACACTCGAGGGGTTGGGCGAATTCTTGACAGTTACGCAAGCACGGAAAATGTTTTCTATTGCATAAATCTAAGTAAAATCAAACCCTGTTAATACTGACACTGAAGTGGCCATACAAAGTGTCTGTTTTGAGCGGGTCATGTCGTTAAAGTCAAAAGACACCTTTTATTGGAACAAAATTCTAAAGGACATTAGCATCCTCAAAGCCATCACAAAGCCTTCATTCCGCGGACTAAATCAATAGAATCACTCAAAACTCTGTCATCTATATATTACTTATTCAAAAAGTTCTCTGCTGAACTCGTTTGATGCAAAAATAATCTGAAATTGACGTCTACAAATCATGCTATCCGGTGCACTGTAGCACTGGGAATATCAACATGCTGTCAACTGAAGTTTTTTTATATCTCCAAAAAGGGAAAATTCATTGCAGCACACAATTGGTAATGAAATGTCCACTTTAGCAAGGTTGACTTTCTATGAGAATCTGTTGATTGGGCACCAAAAAGTGTCCATTGTCCACATTAATGGGTGTCCATATTAGGCGCGTTGAATTTAGAGAAAGCATTGGGGCGTTCTGCAGGGAAAATCAAAACTCTCCGTAATGACTAGGTGTTAGTATCAGGTGGGTGTCCTTGAAGCAGGATTCAACTGTAAAATCTGCACAGACTAAACTACAGCTGTACTTGATAATTTATGCTATGGTGATACCATAGACAGGTACTGCTGAACAAAAGAAGTTTCTTTTTTACAGAAAACTTTAATCTTTTCTTATAATACCCTCTTTACCAATCACCCAAATTGTAGTTCAAAGCAAGAGTGAGTGAATGTGGAGCAAGGAAAGGAATTGCACAGTTATTTAGCCCTGCAGTGTATCAAGTATAATTTCATGAAAGAAGAGATGACTGTCTAACAAAGACTGTGACAATCTGGGACCAATAACATTGAAATAGAAATAAGAAGCTGCATACAAAAGATGCAAAGTGGGGTGGGGTGGGTCAGAGTTTTGCTTCCTTCTTATAAGCCTTTCCGGGATGTCACCAATGTGTTTAACACCTTCCAAAATCAATAAGAAAAAGAGTTATTTCAGGGGTATTCCATTGTTACTACTTGACAAGTTTGGGACATATATCTAAAAAGCTGTAACATTTCCAACACAGCAGGGATACTTTACAGAATGCTGAAGGGCTGGCCAGCACCAAATGACTCTGAAGTTTAGTGCTTAGGGTTGCAAAACTAAGTGAATCATGTTTCAAGTCAGTTTGTCTGGTATCGTGTCCCTAAATGGAACCTGATTCACTTTCCTAACACTAATCACTAAACTTCAGAGCTCATTTGGCGTTTGGTGGCCATTCAAATTCTGCAAAATAACTCTGCTGTTTCCAACACAATATAGAATATCCATACGAGTTTGAATAGTGTCACGCTGCAGATTGTGAAAAAACTCAAACCATTCACAGAGAACTTGAATCCAACTGGAAGAGATACACTGCTTTACCAGTTCACAGGCAAATTAATTTTATCCAGGCATGTACTTTAAGTGATCACTAACCTTGAAACAGTCCAGTGCACATTCTTGCTGCTAGCATGATCATGGTTGGAGACAGAAACAACACAGATGACACAGGAAGAAATGGTACAGCAAGGGTTAATAATGACCAAGCAACTGCTGCAGACCCTAAAATCACTTCCCCTCCATATTTATCACTTAAAAATCCACCAACAATTTGTGCTGGCATATATCCACAGAAGAAAGCAGACATGACTGCTCCCTGTAAGACAAATACAAATAATTAGGGAATGAGGCCAGTTTCCAGGAAGCCCATGGAAACATAACCCTTACTAAGTGAGTTTTCTGCACTGTAAATTTACCCACCAAGTTTTTTCTTTTACTGTTTGATTTATGGCTTGTGCACCTCAAACTTGGTTTTACAAAAATATATATTAATATCATATAAACGAGTTCAGTTCAGGCAGTAATTTTATGGAAGAAGTCAGTTAGTCATTTTGATTCAACAATGTTGTTCTCTTTTCCTTTAAACTAGTTCAGCTGTTCTAAAACTGGTCAGTGTGATAAAATTAATGGAAGCACCCAATAATAAAGAAGAACAGTCAACTGTCTCTAAACCAGGGGTCAATTTAACCCATTACCCCTTGAGCCGCCTGTAACCGCCCAAGCAGATCAACATCCTTTCTACTGCTTGTGATGTCATCAGTTTTGATTGTCAAGGATAACTTTGTCCGCTGACTTGTGTAGAGTGAAGAGATCCCCCACATCCTTTCCTTTGAACTTAATCAGGCCATCTGATATTACAAGATGGTGCGATTTCGCACAATTGACCTCAAATTGCATCCGATCGCACAAGTTGAGGAGAATCGCATAATTCATAAAAAAAAAAGCTAAATTCAAGTAAAGTAAACAATGAATTCTGACTTTAAGTGAACGTTTTCTCAATCTTAATGTTATTTAAGATGATTTACCACTAAACAGGGCTTCTGATATTTCGCGGAAAAAAAAGCAAAATTTCGCGGGATTTTCAGGGGCAAATTCGTGGAAAAATCGGCCGATTTTGCGGGATTTTCGCGGGAAAAAAGTCAAAATTTGCGGCCCAATCAGCCGATTTCGGGCGATTTTCGAGGGAGAGAAGTCAAAATTCGAGAAAAATCGGCCCATTTCGCTGGATTTTAGCGGAAAAAAGTCAAGTTTCGAAGGATTTTCAGGGGCAAATTCTTAGGAAAATCGGCCGATTTCACGGGAAATTTTGGGGGGAAACTTCGCCAAGAAACAATCAGTAAAAAACAGCCGATTTCGTTGGGATTTTTTGGTAAATTTGGTTAAAATCGGTCAATTTTGCGTCGATATGACCAGCGTCAGTGAATGTTTTTGTAGCAGGGATAGAGCGGTTTTCACTCGACTGTCGTAAAACCAAAACCAAAGTAAATACACTAGCCAACCAAAGGGAGTAGTAAAACCAAAACCAAAACCAATCCCTTTCGACAGTCAAGTGAAAACCGCTCTAATCATTTGCTCTTTCAACAACAGTTCGCTCGAGAAATGAGCGAAATGTTAATTAACATTATGGTTAGTGCCCAGTTTTTCACAATGTTCATCTAAAAACGCCTGGTAGTTTTGGGACGTTGTTTACTCGTTGCAGTGACGAAGTTTCAAGCTAAATTTGGACGTTTGGGGTGAATAAAACCGGTCTAATAGCCAAGATAAGTATTAAATATGTTTTGCCGATATGTATTTGGAAATATTTCCGGCGGATTTCGCGGTATTTCGCGTTTGTTTGGGAATTCCGCGGGATTTCGCGGAAATACCTGAATTTCGCGGGTCCGCGACCGCGCGAAATATCAGAAGCCCTGACTAAAGAAAGCCTTGCAAGACATCTGAAACCTTTGATCACAGCATCCAGGCAGTATGGTCAGTAGTGTAACGGCATCATGTAACATTAAACAAAGTACCTTTTCCTTTTTCTTTCTTTCCGATTGTTTTCTTTTCGGGTCAAGCTAATTGGACAAATTTAACTATTTTGTTTTAAAATAGATGTTTTATTATCCCTCTACATTCAAATTGCCTGTTAAACAACACTAAAGTGGTTAAATCGCAAAATTCAGCACATAATAGTCCTATCTTGTCGCACAATCTGCCCTCAAAACGCTGCATAATTTCTGATTTTTCATCTCACCCTATCAGAAGGCCTGCTTAAAACAAAGTCATGAATTTTCCTCTCCCCAGAGGCAGAGAAACTTATCCATCTTCTCTTGGTTCAGAATAGGCCTTTTGTATTAGTTGATCACATGATCAACTTTCGGTAAACACAAAAACAGTTCGCTTTTGAAAAATCTTGTTAGCATGAGCTGAAAGAGGATATTAAAATTAGGCAACCTGTAAATTTTCAGCCATACAGTGTATATCTCAAAAGTAGTGATTACATTGGCCACAGAAAATTAGAAGGATTTGTATCAGAAAAACAACTTTTGCCACCCAGTCATGCTTGAATGGTTTTCCATACAACTCCTTGTAAATTTCAAAATTTTCAAACCTTTGTGAAACATTTCCTTAAGCATTAAGAGGCTCAAATCTCCTTTTAATTCATAACAGGCACTTTGAGCACTTAAATGGGTAAGGGAAAGATTTAACGACAGTTTAAAAACTTCAGAATTTACGAGGAGCTGTATGGAAAACCACTCAAGGGTGACTGGGTGGCAGGAGTTGTTTTTCTTATACAATCCCCTTAATTTTCGGCGGCTGTCGCAATCACTACTTTTGAGATATACGGCTGAAAATTTACAAGTTACCTTTTTCAAAGGTGAACTGCGTTCGTGTTTACCGAAAGTTGATCACGAGATCAACTAATGCAAAAGCCCTATCTCACATTTTTTGCCTTTTGGAGGTTGGCAAGAATGGTTTTATCCTTGGTTTATTTTGGGTGTGGTAATGTATGATAATGAGCTTGGCATAAAGTAGCAGAACAAAGGAAAATAAAAATTAAACCAAGGATAAAGTTGAACCACAACATATAAAACAAACCATGCATGATCAGTAGATTGTATTTAACGAAACTTACATCGATCTCCTTATCCCAGTTCATGTCAGTGCTCATGGCTGCCATACACAACGGAACAGCTGATCTCGTCGCGTACAATAACAAAGTGCCACAAAACATGGCTACTATCCAGTACCTTCGCTGGTTTTCGGGCCACTGAAATGCCGTGTCTCCCTTATGCATGTGATGTACACTGTCCATTTCGATTTTCAGACGTATCGGCGAAGAAGATGTCATTTCTGCCTAAATTTCGATGTAATGAATCGTTAACAGGCCTGTTCACAGGCTTATATCTCATTATCCATCGTAAAAACCTATGAAATGTCCGTGCGATTAAATGTTAAACTTTGCGAAAACAGGGCAGACAAATATTAAGCTTGAGTCAGCTTGACTTCCAGAGCGACCATGCATAAGTCGAAAGACAGTTTCGGCGTCGCCACTTTGAAATTCTTCAAGCGTTACCAATTCATGATATTGCTTTCGATATACAGTCAGTTCTTCTTTCCCGTATAATAGGAAGTTGATCTTATAAATGTGATCAAATTAACTTGATTTTCGATGTCATTGAAGCGCCACCGAAGCGCAACACTGCTACTGAATGAACATTTTTCCCTTGCCACGTCTGGCTTCGTGCCGAGGAGCCAAGCCTGCTTGCGGAAGTTTCGAAACTCCCGCTCAGCCACAGGCTATCCAGGAATATAATCGTAAAACAACTTGAAGAGAGCTTTAGTTTGACCTTTCAATTGCAACAAAACAAAATTACTATACTATGGAAGTGGGCTGACAAATTTATTTGATGATCAGAGTTCAGAGTAAAGAGGATGTTTTTCAAGACAAGTGTGTCCCGCCGATTCAACGAAGATTGCTCCCAGCATGCAGTTTTCTTGGGTGCACACATTTATAGCTTTCTTTTGCGTTCGTGTTCGTTTGGAAGAGATTCATTGTGTTAGAGTAAAGAACTTTAGATGGTTTCTACACTGACAGAAACTGAAGTTGTCATGAAACTTTGCTAATGTTAACCATGCATCTTCCGTCTGTCATTCAGTCTTTGTTAAACAAGTTTTAAATATCGTACATGGTGTAACTGCGTTTTTCTTTTTTCTTTCTTGTTCACGATCTATCATCTGAGGTTGTCAATGGCCTCCAACAATAAAAGCTGACAACTAACAACACTACAGAATCATAATGTGCATACTGAACTGACTACGCAGCTACTGCTTCAACTCTCTTTTTCAATATTTTAAAATGTCCGAATTAAAGACACTCGGATTGACGTAAATAAAATGATGAAGATACAATTGCCATAGTAATGTTATAATATCGGCTGAGAGAAAGGAAAATGGTGTGAAGAAATAAAAAGAACAAAAATAAAAGAAATTCGTGCAAGATGATGCCGCATATTAACATTTATTTTCCCGTCTTTGTTAGAATTACACTAACTAACTGACCTTGTTTTGTTTTGTAATTGACGTCTGACTGTGTTGAAAGAATATAGATTCCTCTAAAGCAGGTGTCTTTGCTTATCTTCTCGCGATGAGGAAATCGCCAAACTGTTCTCAAGAAACTGGACAAATACTCTGATTCAGTGAATAAATTCAGCTATATTTTGATTCGGTAAAAACCAGGGTGTTTAACACTATGACATTCCTTTCCACCTGTATGCTCGCATTGTTTGTAATCACCTCCACTTGTAATCTTTTACTGGACATCAGGTGAGTGGCTGAAGATAGTAATGCATTAGCTAATATTCAAGGAGGGTTGCTTTTCTTGAGACAGGAGTAGATTCTTTAGCACTCTTCTTTGCTTCTCTAGTGTGGTCATTAAAAACTAGAAAGCCAATTCGAATGCATTACTAATGCGAAAAAAAAGGAATTTAAAAATTACATTAAAAACTATCTATTCGGCTCCTTTTTTACTTCTCAGCAGCCAAAAGCTGTGAATTAGACTGTAAAGGCTCGTTAATACAGGCACGTATAGTTTATTTCACCCTACTCAATATCAATACTAGTGCTTTGCACTTGAACGTTCAGATAAGTAAGATAAGGCGATCTTTTTAATATCTATTCAATCGTGATCGGAGCTTACACCATTAAAGGTGAATAGCTCAGTCTTGTTGTCGTTTGTAGCTGTTGGGAAAAAGTATTATCTGGGTCTCATTCAGCGCTTTTGCACAGAAGGTAAGAACGTGTTTACTCGGAAACTTATAGATTGATGGTGATTTTTCGTAGCTCAGTGGCAAGTAACTTTGACTGATATTAATTGGAACAAACCGTACGCGTTCTTTTAAGGGAAAGTTCATTTAATATGACAAGGGGTGGGGATGAAGATATTGAGGGGGGGCTCCGAAAATTTTTAGACACCCGAAGGGGGGGCTCTGAAAAAATTGTTGCGCTAGGAGGGGGGGCTCCGAAAATTTGTATACTTCAAAACCAACACATGACATCATCATACAGATCGGATGGTTTTCAACTCAACAATTTAATGACCTGTGCAACTCGGCTATATCACGTGGTTTACAGATATAACAAATGTAGTCTCAGTAATCATTACACTCTTGTTCATCCCAAAAATGCTTTAGAAAATTGTATCACAACTGTATCTCAAGTTTGTCATAGTATAAACCATTGAAGACAATAACGGTAAATATATTTAATACAGTCTAGCGATCTTTTTCAAACGGGCAAAGGAATTGAAGGAAAGCGGGGGGCTCTGAAATTTTTTGACTACCAAGGAGGGGCTCCTAAAAAATTGAACCGCTAGCGTTCTCGTGCTAAAATTTCAAGCTTCGAGTTTCAATATCTTCATCCCCCCCCCCCCCTTGTCATATTAAATGAACTTTCCCTAGAGATACAGCAGGAACTCCGATCACTAATCCGCCAAAAAAGGGAAACAAAATTGACTTCGGTTCCATCCGTCCCCATACATTTGCACACAAAAACTGGCCATGCCATTTGACACTGTACCAGATAGAGTGATTCTCGAAAATAGAAAAAATGTCTCCAATATGACGTGTCAGTGTGTCTCCGGGGTGAAGAGACATACTTTTAAAAATGGGGTATTTTATATTCCACTTTTTGTAATATTCTTTCTCAGAAATTTTCGTTATCCAAGAGCTCCTGCGTTATCCCATTTTTCCACGAAATTACATGAATCATTTCAAACATTATCGTTTTTCCTATTCCTATTCCATTATATTATTTCTCTTCATTCCCAATGGAACCAGGCTATGTTTACACTATACTGGGTGCAGACGTCTCCTATTTCCTTTGTTGCACTACGAGTGCAACAAAGGAAATAGGAGACGTCTGCATGCAGGCAAGATAGCTTTTGCATCTGCACGAAAACCATATCGGATATTTATTATATGAAGGAGAGTGTTTTACTGGGAACTAAACCACTCGTAGATTCCATCCGCCACTTCATCCGGGACCCGAGTGGCGTATTTTCCGTATGTCACCTTTGTGAGTGTCGTATCGTTCAATGACGTCTCGATTCCCGCCTTTTGCTTTTGTTGAAATGGTTTCTCCATATAATAAAAAGAACATCACACGTTGGCTCGAAGATATGAATTTTATCTTCTCGTGGCAAAAACAATATCTCACTCGTTCGCTTCGCTCACTCGTGAGATATTGTTCTTGCCACTCGAACATAAAATTCATATCTTCTCGCCACCGTGTAATATCCTCTATATATAGCTTCTGATCACACATAAGAACGGTGATTTCGGCGGGATTTCTGAAACGGAGAGAAACTGCGCCTAGCCGAACCCTAAAGTGGAGCGTCACATATCTGCACAGTTATAACTCCGAAAATGGAGTAAAAATTTTAGGTACAGGATAACTCCTCTTTTGGGGTTAATTTAACTCCTAATTTTACATCAAATTTGGGGTCATTTTTACTTCTGAAAAAGAGTTCTTTTTACTCCCAGTCTGGAGTTAAAATAACTCAGAAAATGGGGTTGTTTTTACTCCTTACATGGCTTGTTTTTACTCTTTTTGGAGTTACTTAACTCTGAAAGTGGAGTAAAAATTTTAGGCACAGGATAACTCCTTTTTGGGGGTTATTTTAACTCCACAATATCTGGGGTCATTTTCACTCCTGAAAAAGAGTTCTTTAAACTCCTTTTTGGAGTTAAAATAACTCCCCAAACAATAACTCCACTGTAAGGAGTTAAATTGACCCCACTAGAGGAGTTATTATAACTTCTTGGAAATTGCTGTGGGATAGGTGTTCATACTCTACCGCTGTCCGATATAGTGTGGGCATAGAATCATTAGAAGAAAAAGTGCATCTGCCATGCAGAATGCTTTATTTCAGTCAAGAGTTTTTGGTTATTTCAGCATTGGAAGCATATAACCTTGAATTCTGGGTTATACGATTCTTTTCTTATTGCGTCAATTTTAGAAATAATTCGAAGAGATACGACTACTAATAGGTTTAGGCAATAGTCAATTAATTTCCGTCAGATGCCTTTATTCCTCAGATATTTCAGGGGTCAGTTTCTACCACAAACGGGGAAAAAAATTGCTGAGGCAATGTACTCAAAATACGGTAACTTTAGATAACAAAACAATCCACATCCGTTCCCCTCCCCTCTATTCAAAGTTGGGGTGTTTGTTGTTTTTTACAAGTAACTCGAACAGTGGCACAACATTGCATGGAGAGGACAGTTTTATTTTCCCCTTTTGAAGCTAATAAAACGTTAGAAAGGTCCTTTTGGGCAGAGTGTCTCGACTAATTTTGTCGCGCCGATTGTAAATAGTATCCTTCCAGCCTTGTCCCTAGGCGTTCTCGGCTCGGTCAATCCTGGACTCTACCGTGAGCTGTCACCGAGAGATACTCGCCGAGATTAATCGCCGAGATACTCGCCCGCTCTTTCCCAAACTTCGCGCGGACAACGGGGCAAGAGAGAACGCCTAGGGACTAGACTGGTATCCTTCAACATGATGGGCCTTGTGCGACGCTAGTTGTATTATCGGTATTTGAAATATGGCCTGATTAGACATCCTTTTGCCTCATTGCCAGCCTCGCAATTAAAATAAACTATTTATACGTTACAGTAGTATGCAGTGACTAAGGTTTATCTTGCGTTGTGTGCAAGTGGTTTCCTGCATTCAAAGTTCTGCCTAGAACCCATTCCCAGTTCCTAGAAAGCCGATTATCAGGATTAAATATCGCTAATCGCGGAATGAATTTTATCCCACTATTAGTTTATAGATTCTGTTCTCAAAAGCACGATTAAGACTAATGTAGGAGTAAATGGTAAACCCAGGCTTCCGG